TAGATACTCTCCTGTGCAGGTACTCCTCCTGTGCAGGTACTCCTCCTGTGCAGGTACTCCTCCTGTGCAGGTACTCCTCCTGTGTAGTTACTCCTGTGCAGGTACTCCTTTTGTGCAGGTACTCCTGGAAGGAAGGCTGGGCTGGGACTGTTGCTCCATAAGTTTCTGTTTCTAGATTTGTCCCATAGATTCTCCTTTTCTTTGTGGTTGTGATATGGCCTCTTTGATCAAGTCAGAATCTACTTTAGGCCTTTTAAGACTTGTTTTTAAATGTTTATTTATTTTATGTATCTGAGTGCTATATCTGCATGTACACCTGCACGTCAGATATGGGCATCAGATCCCATTACAGATGGTTATGAACCACCAAGTAGTTGTTTGGAATTGAACTGAGAACCTATGGAAGAGCAACCAGTGTTCTTAACCACTGAGCCCCTAAGATTTTTCCAGCCCCTAAGATTTTTTTAAAAGATTTATTTTATGCATATGAGTGGTCTATTTTCATGCACACCAGAAGAGGGAATCAGATTCTATTACAAGTGATTGTGAGCCACCACATAGTTGCTGGGAATTGAACTCAGGACCTAAAGAACTGACAGTGCTTTTAACCACTGAGCCATCTCTCCAGCCCCAAGAATCTTTTTTTTAAACCTCTGAAATGTGTGTTTTTCTTATTTTAAAGCAATCTTAGAAATGCTCATCTTTCCCCCAATTTTTAGGTATCTTTTGCTGTTATTCCAAAAAACTTAGGGTATCAGAGGGGAAACAGACAGATTAATACCACTAATACGTAGTGCTTCTGAGATAACTCACTATGTTTAACTGGATAATAGAGACTAAAATACTGAAAACCACAAGGAATTACATATGTTTTCTAATATATAATGTCTAGAATTAATAGCTATTGATACTTTATCATTTTTAAGTCACAGTAATATAGGTAAATTTCTCGAATATCAGTCTCCTAACTTTCTTGGCAAAAGTACATACGTGGCCTAGTTTGGTTTTTTTGTTACTGTAATTAAAGGTGTATGCCACCACACATGGCTCAAGTTATTTTTTAATTTATTTATTGCTTGTGTATGGCAGTAGAGCAAATGTCGTGATGGTGTACATGTGGAGGTCGAAGGACAACTTTCAGGAGTTGGTTATGTCATACTGTGTGGGTTCTGGGACTTACACTTGAGTCTTCAGCCTCTATTCTGAGCCATTTACTAGAACAGATTTATTTTTATTCTTAGTGTTCTTTCTAGCTTATCTTGTCTGAATGGTCATCACAGATGCTAAGCTCTGAAAAACGTTTTTCTGTATTTCTTGGGAGCTTTGTAGGTGAGTGTAGGGTTGATGTTTTGTTTCTTTCTTTGGGACATCGTCAAGTGCTAGGACAGTGAGTGTGCCACCATGCCTGGCTTAGGGCTGAGTCTAGAAGCTTCTCCATGCTGTATGCACTGAGCCACCTCTCAGAACTTTTCTCCCCTCATTGGTTACTGCCATTAGGAATGTCACTTTCTATGAAGATAGTCACACCTCTTACGATAACTTACCCTCTTTCTCGTTTGTGCACCTTGTTCCCTACCTTGTCTCATTGCAGTGAATTAGACTTTTAATCGTGTTAGCAGTGATGGTATTGTTTCATTGTTCCTGATACTTCCCTTTTGTTGTATTTAGAAACTTTTTGACTATACTTTATTCCTAATACCTAACCACATGGAATGTGCTTAGCTGGAGAACAGGGAATCACTGTCATACATAGAACAAGGGAAAGGACCTGTGTGCCCTTCATACCATACTGTGTTACTGTGTACCCTTTACACCATAACATAGTTCACACTCCCCTCTCTTATCTGCTTGCAAATGTCTGATGTACATGTGGAGGTCGAAGGACAACTTTCACTGTCACTGACTCTTGCAGATTTTCTGGTTTTAACTCATTGTAAGATGTCTTAGACATTCGTCTTTCCTTCTGCATTCTCTTGTGAGTGAAGGTAAATGCTGGGGTGTTTAAGTTTCTGTATGGGTTGTGTGCATATTCGTTCTGTTGGAAAGGTACACCCTTCATTATTGCTAATATTGTGTCGTTTTCAGCTACTTGTTTGCCCTCTGCTTTAGAATTTCTTCTCTTTAGATTTCTGGACAGAGACAAGGCCTGGCAGCTTGGCCCGGGGCCCCAGAGGTTCTACAACTTTGTGTTTAGCACTAGCAGCTGGAGAACAGGCTTCTGAAACCTGAGTGTGAGGGATAGTCCATATTCAAGCTGGAGCGGCCTTGGACTTGGAGGAATCCAGAAAGGGGAAAAGTGAGGAGGGACTCTTTCTCCTGTGCTCATGGTAGATGAGTGCTGGGGCCCCGCTCTCCCATGCTCATGCTTCCTGGGCCAGCTCTCCCCTGTCCTTCCTACTAGCTCTACTGTGCTGCCCAGGAGAGGTGCAGCGCCCTGTCTCCTGAGTGCTGCAGTCAGTGAGAGGCAGGGCCAACTCTGCGTGGCCCTTAGATATTAACATGGTCCTGGGCAGCTGCCCGTACTAGGGCATTACAAGACAGCGCGGAGTAGATCTGCACAGGGTGAAAGTGTCTGCCCCGTGTAGGTAAGCTTGCCAATCTTGAAGAAATTTATTGGAGATTCTCTGTTCTTCTTTCCACCACTGAGCACCAAACACTGACATGACTTTGTAACTACTCACCGAAATATTTTTCTCCCAATAAGTCCTTTAATATTCAAGCCAAGTAATTTTCCTCAAATTAAATGAATCCACTTAAGTGCTGGTCACTGTGGTTTCCATTAGTTGAACTCTTCTGGGTTCGTTTTTGTGGCGCTTGATTACTGAAAGAGAAGTAGAATCCAAAGGAAGAAAAATGACATGGCTGGTGTTACCAAAATGTCATTAACATCAGAGCCCAGAAAAATGTGGAGGATGCCAGCTACTCAACAGTCAGCAGTGCAGAGGAACATCCAGTTGAATGGGAAATTATTATTTAACTGTTAAAAAATGTCATGTAATGATTAAATGAGATAAGCTTGTTTTCACAGCAGACATGGCTGTCAGAGAATGTTGAGTTGTTATCTAACCTGTACGTTGACAGGCAGATATCACATATGTGCACTCCACCCAGGACAGTGACTCTAACAGTCTCCTCCCAGAGTTTGACAATGTCCCATGCTTATAGCATGTTAGGTCGATAATAGATCGGGGTTCAGGTCTTCCTAATCCATTCCCACTTTCTCCTCTGCCCTGCTCCTGGAAAGGGCACCTGTATTTGGTACAGACACACACAGGGATAGTGATAGCAGGGCGATTGAAGGGTTTCCTGCAAAGAAGGAAGGAAGAACCATCAGATTATTGTTCTGTACTTTGTGCTTGTATGCACCCTCAGGGTTTTCGTTGTTTGTTTAGAAACTGTTTAGTGCTTCTTGGTACTTTATTTTCAAATTACTTTTCTCATATATGTTGTTCTTTATAAGTTTAGTTTTGGCTGTAAGTAGTAGAAATCCAAACTCAGCTGTGATCCAAATAAGGGTTTACATTTTTGCATCGTGAGAAGTTACATGCGGAACTGAAGTGCTTAGTTAATGTCTCTAAGGACAGGCCCTTCCATAAGGCCCTGCATTAGTGAGGGCTT